GCAATGTTGTATGGGGCTCTGAACATGCTCTTGGTTCCATGTACCTAACCAAAGCAGCAAAAGTTTGTAATAGAGATATAGCTATAACCCTCATGGCAAGCTACTAGAGCTCCACTCTTGGGTGAAGTTATTGCAGAAATAAGTGGGGCTTTGTGTAAGAACTGCCATTAAAGCATAAAACAGGCTCTGTTGAGCAGAGATCAGAATTATTGTTGTGCTTTTATAGGCGCAATGTTCTGCAACTGTAAGTTATAGGCCATTTGAGGACTGCAGAAGAATCTAAGCGATTTCAAACGAGAGCAGTCAACAACAATCTGTTTTTCCAGAGCAAGAAAATGGTGGCAAGTTATGCTCATATTAAGTATTCATGAAAGTGAGCGGGACCAGGTATTAATTGCATTCTGTTGCTGGCAATCGCATATCTTCCAGAACAGAGAGACAGGTATAAAACACTTGCAGCCAGCAACTGCAGTTGTTACCACCGTGACTTTTTCATCCATCAAGTCCTTACAGAAATGGGTTGATGCTGGCTCAAGGGATTGGCTGAAGACGGATGATTCAAAACAGTGTAATCCTTGAGAAACACTCACCTGGTGCAACAGTTTGCTGCTCTAGAGGGAAGGAAGTTTCTTAATGTCATTTTAATGTAAATAACATAAAATATCTAGTTTGACTGTTAAAGTCTAGTGCAGACATAGCAACACTGAGTGCAAGACCTGTATAGATAGTGGGAGGCTCTCCTCAGAAACTACAATATACTCACATACATTGGAATTGGCCTAAAAGAATTTATTGGCTTAAAGTGCTGGCATGTTGTGCTGTGTACACCACAAGCAAAGTGATGAGTGGCTGCTGGCTCTTAATTGCTGTGTGGGAGTTGCTATACTTGTAACAACTTGTGGGCAGGTTCTAAGAAAGCTTAAGGTGCTGTGGACTGCCCTTTTTGGAAAGGAGCCTTCTGTCTTTTGAAGCACACCAGCTGCTTACTGATAAAGATGGCATTCATGTTGCCCTGTAGTCCTGAGAAACAGAAGAGGCCTTGGTTTAGTAAAGCTTGTTTTAGATTTCACTGAGTAGGTTTGTTGCTCCCACCCTCAGCTACAGAAGTATGTGTTTTAGAGAGGAGTTTAAAAGTCATCTTCCAGACTGAAGCACTGACTGGTCTGAACTTTTATGATCCTTATTGTTGTTTATGAACTTTGGATTCAACTCAGAGTACTTCAGTGGCAGGACTGGTGAGGATGGGCAACCACGTTGTTCCCTTATCAAATACCATGCTTCTGTTGGATTCTGGGTAAACAAAATTGTGAATAAGCTATTGTTAAAGCTGAACTGGAAGGTGGTTGTTGAGTTGGCTTCTTCAAATTCATGATTGAAACTGCAGTTTCTGTTCTTAAGAAGGCTCTACAGTTGCTATAATTGCATCCCCAATAACATGTGTGTCTTTCTTATTCTCAGGTTTTTCTTGCCCAGTGTGATACCATTGAAGGAAATATTGGTCAAGAAATGGACAAGCTACAGTCAAAGAATTTGGCACTGGCAGAATGAGGCATTGCCCTACGTAGTTAGGAAACATAATTGCTCTATGAGCAAGAGGAAAAGTTTGCTCTTTGTTTTGGAGCATGTATTCAGCTTTTTTTTTTTTTTTAAAGCCCAGTCTGTTAGACTGGTACTAGTCAATCATTTCTCGCTGGTCGTCTTGTTTGCCGCTTGGTTAGATGTATTATTTTGAAAAGAAAATCCTTCCTGAAGAATTGCAGAAATAATCTTTGTGGTGAATTGTTATGTATCTTATGGACGAATGTTTAGTTCACGAAATTACGAAGTTTGCAGTGGCAATTTTGTCTGATATGTCTTTGCATTTATTTACAGCTCAAATCAAAGAAGGTCTATAATCGTGTAAGTGCCATAAATTGCAATTGTAGGACTTAAGCTTGATTGAAAAAGGCAAACTGAGACGACATCTGGGAAAGTCGAACGTTGTAGTAGACGGTTCAGAGCAATAAAAAAACCCTACGCATTTGTATCTACTTAATGTTTGTATGCATTTATAAATGTAAGAAAGCTTAAATATAAGGGAGTCGTACCTATTTTAGCCTTAAATTGTCATAATAAATGGCATGTACTGTAACACGTATGGTACTTAATTTTGAGTGGTGCTTTAAGTTGTTACTGAGCTCCTTGATACAGATGTATGTTTTTTACATAGTTTTCTGATGTACTGTGGTTTTTATAGATTATTCTTATTTTTATTGTTTGTGTTCTGTCTTGAGTTATGATGGGAAATGCAACAAGATTACTCATGCTGCTCATAGACCAAGGATTCAGTTTAAGCAAGGTATAAATAAGGAACTATTTTCAAAGATTTTTTTAATACTTTTTTCCCAATTTCACTGAATTCGTGATGCTGTATTTAATGGAAAATGGCAGTGATTCTTTCTAGTCTGTTAATATATTATTAGCGAGTTTTTATAACAAAGTGACACGACTTTATTTTAGCAATGCTATACGACTGAGGATTATGACTGGTTCTCGCAGTCAGATATGTGCCACGCTTAGTCTTCTCTGTTAGGTGAAAAATAAGCTTTTGCAGGAGATAGTAACTATTGGCAAGCGCAGCCAACTTTGCAGTTGTTGGTCAGAGCCTGTAGCTAATGTACCTATAGTGGGAGTTGCTTTTTCACTGATGCTTTTGGTTGGTAGATCAGTCATATACATGGTGGCTGGTGAAATAGTGACTGGTAAGGAGCCTGTTTCTGTGGGGGAAGAAAAGGTCTTTTGTCTCAAGTGAGTCAGACTGAGGACTTTTAGAAGTGGCCCGTAGCTCGTCAATCTTTATCCATATGTGGTAGTTTTAAGATTAGCTGTCCTTTCAAGATAAAAATAGGAAATGTGTGTAAAAAAAATAAAAAATGTTAACTTCTCATAAACCTTAAATAATACCTAAAGTATTATTATGAAAGTATTATGTTTGATGTTTGTAATTGGAGGAGCGTTGCCATTGGACAAATTAAGTGATAGCCCTGCATTAAAGGGTCACTTTTATTCTAAAAATGCCTTTTTACCATACCAAGATTGGAGTTGCCATATTTTTTTACTGTTAACAAGTTTCCTCAAGGTTGTATTTTTTCTGTATGCAACTCTGTTAGCATCTGTGGAGGATTTTAAGGTTTAAACTCCTAGGAAGCTTGCCTGTCATATTAGGAAATGGTATGTTTGGTAGGACTGTGGATATTTTTTCCTAGGCTGCTAAGTCTGGTCATGCTGCATTTTCCCAGCACTTTAAGGTTAGGAGGAAGAAGAGTTGGTTGTAGCCATTTTTGTGAAGCCCTACCTTGCCTGGTGCTGCTTCTGGACCAGATTCAGCTCAAGCCAGGACACTCTTAAACCACCAGCAACGCTGTTGCCTAATTCAGGGGATGCAGAAGTATCCAGTTGCCTGTGGTGGAAAAGATCCTCACCCTCTCAAGTGTAAGTCCTCTAATGCATTGAACTTATACGGGTGCGTGTATAGTAAGTGAAGTGTCCTCTTGGCCATGAGAACTGGGAGCTGTGGTCGTGGCTAGGACTGTGACTGTTTTTGCTGCTCCGTCCTATTTTTCTCTCTTGGGTGAGAACACTAAGGCTATAGGCAGACATCGTCTTCCCAGCACTTGTTCCCAGAAACTGCTGCTTCTTGAGATGTGCTTGTTGTGAGTACATCCTCAGCCTGTCTCAAAGCCAGGTGGATTAATTTTAAGATGTTCCATAGTAGATCTTTTGATAATCTGGTACTTGGAGGCAAAGAGAGTGATGATGAACCTCTCCGACCATCTGGATTCTGCAAGGTGCGGTTGTCCTAGGCTGAAGTTACCTTACAGTGGTAACTCCTGGTATCAGTGTGTTTGGTTTCTAGGACAAAAGTATGTGTATGAAGACAAACTTTTGCAGTAAAAAATTTCTTGTCTTCCAAATATAAAAATGAATTGATTTGTTGTGGAAAATGGATGGTTGTATTTAGAGTTGTCTAAGGCCACCTAGAGTGGATTGACTTTTATACTTGGTTTTGAAAGAGGAGCCCCTACACTTCATTTTTTCATAATAGCCTTAAACTTCAGTAAAAGCAAACTTCTGTGCTTTGGAAAAATGTGGCAGACTACAATTGTGGGAGAAAGGGGAAAGAAGAGGAGATTTTAAATATTCATCAAAATTCATAAAGGCAAACATAGATCTCAGTCAAGCTGATACATTCGATGTACTCAGTCAAGAGATACATTCTCACTGATTCTGTAGTCTAGGTGTACTGTGATACCTATCGCGCTACTGAATCATTTCCCCACCCCGTCTGCCCCCTTCATGTCAAAAGAGAAGTGACTCCCTTTTGCCGTCGTTGCACTAACCCCATCGCATTCCTCCGGTTGCTGTGTCGCTCTGGCTGCGTTTACGCACCTGGCATTTGCCATCCAGGCAAAATGTCTTACCACAAAGTTTGTCTTTTATGAAAATGGAAATGGAATGACACACTTTCCTGCCCCCTTTTCTCCCCCACCTCCCTGTGAGCTGCCGAGCGTGACGAGCCAAGCCCAATGTTCAGGGAGTCGCAGAGCTTGGAGCGTCGAGACGGCTTCGTTTTCTGGGAAAAACACTGCATGCAGCGACGTCCTCTGTGACCAAATCCTCCTGAAGGTAATGTCGCTGTCAATCTGGAGAAACGCTTTCTTCACTTTTTAACATTCGCTCATGGTTTGGAGTGGAGTGCTTGGCACTGCGGAACTTGGGGCTAGGTTGGTTTGGATTTTTTTTTAGGTAACTTATTTTATTGTACTTTCATAAACGAAATGGTAAAAATAAAGTATGGAACGTTCTCTGCTGTCCTTGGTCATGGTGTGGTTACTGAATGCTGTAGGTGGGCTGTAGTTTTGTGGGGAGAACGTGTGCTGTTCCCCCTGTTTGTGGTGTGGGATGTGTTTGGAGCTGTGGCCACCGGTCCAGCTGGGCCCCCCAAAGGGCTGCAGGGGCTCATGGCCGGAAACCTCACCAAGTTTGGCAATCAGCTGAGGCAGAAAGAAAAGCTGGATGTTTGTTATCTATTTTTTTTAAGAGCACTTTTCAGTGTTGTGTTGCACACTGAGGCTTTCTGGATCTGGGGCTATGGGATGTACTGGGTTTTATTATCTTTTTTTACTTGTTTGGGAGCTCTTTTTTAGGGAATTTATTCAGAGACGCGGCCTACAGCTGGGTTATGGTGCCTGTCTAGCTCTGATGGTGCTCCAAAGGCTTGACTACTGGAAAAAAAACCTGATCAAAATGTAAAATTTAATTCTGCTTCATT